AAAATAATTAATAAAAGGATGAACACACTTAGAATAAAAAGAGACGATGTTTAGAGCTTTGTTTCTTGAAGAAATATGAAGGATTAGGCTTGTATTTATAGTGGAAGATGTTAATTAGCCGTTGGGAGGTGATTAGGGTTGATTTAATTCAAATTGGCAATTTTGCTACAGTGCTGTAACGGATCTGGTACCCTTCACGGTAGGGGGGTCCGTGTCATCCGGTACCTAGGTACCGTGACACGGTATAGCCTACCGTTTGGGGGTACCGTGTCTTCCAAAAGTTCGGTTCGCCTCTAGCGGTACTTGGTTAGGACGGGTTCGGCCAACCGTCTACGCCTACCGTTGGTACCTAGGTACCGTTACACGGTATGGGGGTACCGTGTAGGCGGTATACCCTACCGTGTGGCGTACCGCTAAAGGTACCGTGACTCTGTTCTGATTTTTCCAAAATTCCCTTAATCCTTCGTGTTTGAGTTTAAAACCTTTTAGATATTTTGAAAGTGTTTATGTGATGGTTTTAAACATATTTTGTGAGTGCTTTTGAGCTTGTGAATATAGGTATATAAAGTCATATCCTTACATTGGTTTCTACCTATATTCTACGCTAGTTTTAGTGTTTCGACTTCATTCTTGAGTACCAAATCTTAATGGATTCTTGTTTTCCTGAAACACTTAAACAAACGTTAAGCTCTTATATTGTTTGTTAACATCAAAACATGAGACTTAGCAAACCAAGGCTAACATAAAATATCTTATAACTCACCTAGGAGAAACTTTCTGTCCATCCCCATGTTGTATATAGCCAACTACTTTGCTTTTGTTAGGTCCATTGTATGTCTTCACTCATTCGTATGTGACTGGTTGAGTTTTTGTAACTCGTGTTGGCATTATTTTTCATAAACGAATAAATCTTATTTGCTTTAGTTGTTAGCAGTTATGTATTGAGTGGAGTTGTAGCATTCAGTCGTTTATCATGTTGCTATGCCAAAATACTATGTCATTCTACATACTTATCTATTGTCATGAAGAAGTCCAGTTGTACGAAAAAGTCTTTCTATTCATTGATATTACCTAGATTTTATCTCTTATTTATAATACAATAGCGTGGCATGAAAAGGAACCTTGAATTCACGAAATTCATTTATTGAATCCATTCAAGTCACGAGGTGTTTGGCCAACGCTAGGACTATGCGCTCAAAGATTTCTAATTAAGCACTATTTGGGTTTTTAGCTTTCCTATATAATCCTACAATATGGCCATGGAGAAAAAATTAGATACACGAGAGATTTTGTGAGGCAACACATTAACAAGAGTTCATCCGTGTATGACAACGGAGGGGTTCCCATGACATTGGAACCCCATATCATGGGATAACCCGAGGCCGCTACGGTGCCCCATTCGTAAAATTGACAGCTCCTACCCTCTAACCCCCTAGGTAAACCCCCACACCCCCACCCCATCCCGAAAATACCCCGCCACCCCATTCAACTCCACCCCCAAGTTAATTTTGACTTTGTGGTCAACTTTGACTCCAAGGTCAAAATTAACTTGGGGTGCAATTAAAGGGGTTGGGGGTGTGTTTGGGTTGGGGTGGGGTGGTGGGGGGGGTTTACTGGGGACGGTATATACTGTCAATTTTACGAATGGGGCACGGTAGTGGGCTAGGTCATCCCATGACATTGCCAGGCAATGTCACATGAACCACACGGATATGACAAATACAAAGAGATCACGCCATACTTTATTATCCTTGTGTGAAGCAAAAAAGCTCGGTGTTATGCATGAACCTTGTAGCTTCTTTAGTGACATAGGTACAACCAGTGTATTCTATGCTTATGATGTAACACTTCAATCTGCATAACCCAAGTAAATGGATTAGCGAACATGGTTGCTACTAACCTGGTATTCGTAAGCTAAATAACTTAAAATCATTTAAATAAAATCCAGCATTTAAATAGAAGCTCAACCTTTCAAAAGAATTCAATCAATTATCAAAGTCAAAAAACAAAACAGTGTGAAAGCTTAATAAAATATACCATATCAAAAAATAGTTAAACCATAAACATCTTAAACTGATCTGCATCTGGGCATCTCCTTCCATCTTGCTGCCCTCTAGGAGTGCTTCAACTATTATATGCATGCAGTCAAAGACAAGTAAAGACTACATGCTCGGCTAAAAGCCAAGTAAGAATATATCTACGCTTGAATTAACTTACAATATAATACCACAATGACATACAATCATACACCATCATGCGAGTAGATCACAATATCATATCACAACATTGTCAATCAAGAATCATTCTCAACATACTCTTTTATTCTCTGGTCTTAACCTACCTATGATGGCTAAGGCTCAATTCAACATACTAGAGTTATGGACACTTGAGCAGATCTCTCAAAGCCAATGCTTAGAACCCAAAGAATATTTTCAATGGGCGAGTTGAAACCCAATGCCTTTGAGTATGCAAACACACACCACAAAGTCTATTTTTTAAACCATATCATATTGGTTATTTTAACACTCAATTCATCTCAATTCAAATACGCCTAAATATACTAGGTACCTTCGAGTCGGTTTAGATATGGTTCGGTTATAAGTCGGTTTGGATATTTCGGTTTCGGATCTAGTTCAGTTCGGATATATTTTGGTTTCGGATCAAATATATTTTGGATATATATTATTTTCTAATTAAAATTTAATTATCCATGTTTTTTTTATGTTTTATCACATTTATCAATCTATCATCAATTCAATACCTCATACTATTTTATATTATTAGTCATATTTTACAAATTTGGACTACAAATTATGAAAAAATATATATTTAATTACAATATAAATATAATATAATTAAATTGATTTTTAAATTTAGTTTTGATATATCAAATTTTTCTCACATCTACTAATATATTTATATTTATGAATGAAAAGATAAAAGATAAATTCAAATAGTGTTTTGTTCCATTTGAATACAATTTGGTAAAAATTGAGTGAAAATAGATGAAATTAAGTGAATTTTATTCAATTGAGTGCAAATTTTTTAAATTATTTGAGTGTATTTGGTTGAAATTAGATAAAATTAAATTTAATAGAGTCAAATATAATTAATTTTACACCTAAATGTGATGGTGTAGATCAAATTTGAAAATGATAACACTAAATGCTGCCGCTAGAGAGTCTTTTCAAAATGCTAACACTAACATCTAATGTTATTAACTAATATTGAGTGAATTGGTTTGAAACTAATCAAATTAACTCTTAAACCAATAAAGTTTATTGTAATTGGATAAAATTAGGATAAAATCTAGTTATTCCATACAATTCATCATATAACCTTACATCCCAAAAATAATATCACACTCCACTATTTAAAAATTACGAAAATTTTATTTGTTTATGTGTTATCATTTATATGTGTAACTTATCTTCAATTTCTAAATATAATAAATTTAAGGCATGAAATTTTGTACTTTTTCCCAAGATGATAATCTATTTTATGAGAGAATGAGCAAATAATGTAATTAGTTCAAATGGTAAAACAAAAGTAAAAATTTAAAAATAAAATATGCTTATTATAGGCAAACACAATTCCAAATTTATCGGTTCTAGTTCTAACCGGGTCCAGATATTATCGGTTTCAAGTATTATCAGTTTCAGATCTATTCGGTTTCGAGTTTAATCGGTCCGGTTATTATCGATTTTGGATTAAAATCGGATATGAATTATTTAGTTCGGTTTCGGTTCGATTTGGATCATTTCAGGTTTTTGGTTATAGATCAGATCTTCATTTTTCAGATCATTTTTGTTTCGGTTTCGGATATTTCGGCTCGAATAACTGGTTCCGGTTCTATTTTGCCAGGTCTAAGTAGAGGGTGTTCATCGGTCTAAAACCAAACCGGACCAAAAACCGAACTATGCTAAAATTTAGACCGAAGACCAGACCTAAATGTAGTCGGTTTTGGACTGGATCGACCCGAAATCCTATGGACTGAACTGGTCCAAACCGAAAAGACCGAATCCAGGTGTGGTCGGGATTGAAACTTTCCCCACTGGCGAAACCCTAGGTGTGGAAAATTGGGGGTTTTGCAATCCCGAATCAAATTCTGCAATTGAGGAGTCAGGGTGGGTCCTAAAGATGTCAGGAAGATGTCTGGGTGGGTGCGTGACGTCGAATTTCCTGGAGGTGGCCGGAATCTGCAAATACCCCCCGAAAACTGTCGTGATAGGTTGCAACTGATTCCCAGCGATTCCGGCGTCCAAATCCCACGATGCTGGTGGCGATGGGGTCGTATAGACCTCAGGAGGCGTTTGGGAGTGGTGGGGAGGCTCGCTGCTGCGTGTGGTGGCCGAAGCAGATTGGGCAGCGGCATGGACGGCGGCTGCTACGATATGACGTTTCCCGGCATCTTTTCCGGTGGTGTTTGGGTGCAATAGGACCGGCATGATCGAAGGAGGAGTTTGGTGGGTGACCGGCGGACACGGCGTAGAAGATGTTGTCCATTAAGTGAGAAGGCTTCCATGAGGAAGATAAGATGTGACAAGGATGATGGGGAGGAAATCGGGAGTTAATGAATATCGTCGGTCATTTCGGTCTGGACCAAATGACAACCGGATATGGACCAGACCGGACTGAAACCCGAAATTCTAAAAATTCTGGACCGAAGACCGATCCGAAATCTATTCAGTCTGGATCTATCGGTCCGTTTTGGTCAGTTTTTTCGGTCTGGACTTAAACATGAACAACCCTAGGTCTAAGTTTGATTAGTTTTGAGAGCACTAGAGTCTTTAATTAATTTTGGGAGTATTATTGTAAAATTTCAAATTTTTCCCAATATAAAAAGAGAATGACAAGGTGTAAAGATGATTGAGGGGGCACCATTGTAAATGGCCTAATGCCACCGAAAAGTTTTTGTCTTCCCAAACAAGCCATTAAAGACAGAATAATAAGACAAGCGCCTACAACTATAGAGTAGACTTGTGGAATGATCTTTTCTACCCTTGTAGAATCTCTGGATAAATGCCTAATCGCGGTGTAATTAAAATGAAAAACGAGGTCAAGTTTGTCACTCCCACCAAGCCCGTAGATCCCACCTGAGCAAAAGATAATATACTCGTAGCAGTACAAATGAAAAGTATAAACGCGCACAAACACTGCCACACAGACGATGATCGAGTGCTAGACGATTGAAAAACTTCGCCTACAGACGTAGAGGGAAAGCTACTTTGAAGATGAGTTCAGATCGCAATTTCAGGTATTATTCTTGTTTTTGGAGCTTGAATTGTTAAAATTCAGCTGAGTATTTGAGATTGGACGATGTTCCTCTTTGATTCCCTTTCTATTTCGCATTCAATCTGCCTTTTTGTAGTATCCAAGTCGAATTTAATGGATTTCTAGCGTTCTCAGCTTCTTACTGAGTTGAAATCTGAAAGTTTTAGCTTCTGCAGTGTGTGCCGGCGCGGGATTTCTTTGTGTGGATAAATGATCGCATATAAAGAGCTATATGTGTAGATTTGTTTGAACGAATAGTTCTGTATGTCAATCTGGCTGAGTAATGTTATCTGGAAGTGTGATTTGTCTTCGATAAGATGAGGGAATTGTAATACGAGGATATGCCTGAAGGTTACAATGAATTTGCAGAAAACTGATGGTTTCGTGTATACTACTTATGTACTTTGATTTCGCTGCCCCGATAATATGTGGGACTAATGCGTATATTTGTTTGAATTTGTTCCCGGGCTAGTGGATTTATCAATGAGGTGTTGTGTCTCCCTCGAAAGATCTTGAAATGTGAATTTTGGAATTTTTGTCCCCATTGACTTCACTTCTTTAGAAACTGATTCGGCCTATGTGTGTGGATCAGAACTTCTGTGCGACAGGAAGTTGATATTTTTTTAATGTGTACTCCGCAGCTTTTCTTGTATAAATAATGAATAGATTTTTATTGGATTTTTAAAGTTTCACTTAAGAAGATATTGCTTTGAATTAACAGTTTGCTTCTTCAATTCCTTTTTCCCTTCCACTTATATTATATGATTTATCAATTTATTGTTCTGTGCATTAAATATATCAATAAAAAGTTATCCTTTTTCTATGCATGATGAAGAAGGTTTAATTTGATTATTTAAACTCCTTCAATCATACTCTGTATACTCGTCTATAGTTTAAGTTGCTTTGCACTTTACAGGGGTTGTTCTTCATGCCATTAGTCACTCAAGTTACACAGCTCAAGTTCCGTATCAGGTAAGAAGAAAGAAACACGGAGTAATTTTTAACAAAAATACTTGAAACACACACACACACTAATGTCAGGGTTCTGTGTATAGATGGAAGGAAATATAGTAAAAGGTGTGATGGGTCAACAGAACAACTATGATCAAGTTTGCTATAAATCCATGGAGATGAGAACTGAGGGAATTGGATCTGCAAATCAAAGATTTTTTCAGGATCCCTCAGGCTCTATTAACATAAATGGGCGACCTCCAGATCTTAATATGACAGCTGGACCAAGGCCTGTTCTTAACTTTTCTATTCAGACCGGCGAGGAATTTGCTCTTGAATTTATGCGGGACAGAGCTTATTCAAAACAGCCATATGTTCCACATTCATCAGGTGATCCTTGTAGTGCCACATCTTATATGGACCTAAAGGACATGCTTGAAGTATCTCATACAGGTTCTGAGAGTGGATCAGATATTTCAGCAGCTGTCACTATCGACAAAAGTCGGATTCAAGACCATGAAAAAAAGAGTACTCTAAATGAACAGCATTCCTTATCCCAAACTGTACAATCTGTGTCTAGGGTCTCCTCAAGGAATAATGAGGGGTGTGGGGTTCACAGGCATACCCCGATAAACAGATGGTCCAAAAAATATAAGTTTCTTTGCAGTTTTGGTGGCAAAATTTTGCCTCGCCCAGGTGATGGAAAGCTACGATATGTTGGAGGAGATACACACATTATTTGTATTACAAGAGGTATCTCTTGGGATGAATTCAAGGAGAAAATATTGACAGTATACAGCACAACTTACATAATAAAGTATCAGCTTCCAGGTGAGGAACTTGATGCTCTGGTAACAGTTTCTTCTGGTGAGGACTTACAAAACATGATGGAAGAATGTAATGTGCTTGAAGATGGCGGATCCCAAAAACTTCGTATTTTTCTCTTTTCACGTGGTGATTTGGATGATTGTCATCTCGGTCTTGAGAATGTGGAAGGTGATGCAGAATTACAGTATTTTGTTGCTGTAAATTGCATGGATATTGGCTCAAGGCAGAACTCAGTTGGTCAGGCAAGTACGTCAGGGAACACTTTAGACGAGTTACTTGGGTTAAGTATTGATGGAGAGCATGGCAGAGTTGTTGCTAGCTTAGCTCCTGTTAATACTATGCATCCAGTGGGTGGGTTTCCTTCAAATAAATCATCTCACACAGTGGGGTCAAGGTCAATACATGAATTAGATTCCAATCCACAGGGATACCATAATCAAACCTCGCCTTACAATGGGATCAATATGCAACGGCTATCTTCTACAGAACTCATGGGAAACTTCTCGAGTGTAGATAGAAGCAGCACCGTCATGGCGCAGGCTCCTCTAAATTATTTCTGTGGTCGTACACCCAATTCTGCACAGCTTGGCGAGGACAACTTTGTGATAACTTCTAGCCAGGCTCTGGGAGAGGGAGATTTAACTGCTGGTTACTCATTTGGAAACTCCCATGTGCTTGATACTGAAGTATCAGCTAATGAAATGAAAATAAACAGAGATGCCACCACTCAAAAAGGGATTGAACCTGGTAAAACTGGTTCTCTGGAAAAGGAGCCTGAGGAAAAGATAAAGGGAGAACATACAATGCAGAAAATGGACGAGCATGAGAAAGGCAGGCCTTTGGAATATGAAAGGATTGTCCCTTCAAACCCAGATGGCAACTCTATTCCCAATAAAAGTTCCGGAGTTGAAGAACCAACCTCAGGTGCTTCTGCAATTACAGGAGATTTAGCTGTGCTATTCAAAGGTACTGTAAGAAATCAGGTTCAGAGGCAGAGTTTAGGATCTTCTAAATGTGAGATGGAAGAAAGAATAGACCCAGTTAATGAAGATAGCCCGCTCGCTGCATCTAGCACAGTCTCAAACTCTTGTCATGGCAACTCTGAGGTATATCCCTTTGGCTTCAACTCTGAACCTCCTACAGTTCCTCCAAGGCACTTTTGTTCAGAAAGATTACCCCGCAACCAAGCCGGCTTAAATCGTTTGTCTAAATCTGATGATTCCTCTGCTTCACCATTTCTAATGACTCACCACTCACAATATGAGGATTTGCAGCAGATGCCAGAATCAATTGATAGATTTCACATTGGGAATGATTCTAAAGAGGCAAATCACTCAGCTCTGTCTGCTGCAGTTGAAGATAATGCTGTTGACTTCCAGACATCTCAGAAAGTTGCTGATGATTCCAAAATAGCTGGTTCACACATACCTAAGGATGGGGGTATGACAAACGCTAAGAACATTGAGCTTAAGCCTGCCAGTTTCCTTGATAGGGACACCCCCCAACTGGGTCTCCCTCCAATGAGTATTCATGTCCACAGTGATTCTGCATCTAAGCCAACTGTGATTATTAGTGACAAAAATAGAGCAAGAGAAATGAAGTCTCTGGCTGTGAGAGAGCAACCAGCTGGGACGGATTACCGGGCAAAGCCTTCCGTTAGTGAGCATGTGGACATTGTTATCGATATCAATGATCGCTTCCCACGTGATTTTTTATCCGAAATATTTTCAAAAGCAATGGATGGATCAGCAGAGATTAATCATTTTCATGGTGATGGAGGTAGTTCAAGCTTAAATATGGAGAACCATGAGCCTATGCACTGGTCAGTTTTCCAGAGATTAGCTCAGGATGATTTTGTTAGGAGGGATATCTCTCTTATTGACCAGGATCATCCTAGTTTCCTGACTACAAGTGCACATGTTGATGAAGTGTCAATAGATTATAGTTATCCAACTTCGAATATCAGTGGAGTGGTTATGGATCCCCGCTTTAGTATTGAAACTGACATTCAACAGCAGTCAACTCTGACCACTGAACCTGCGAGTACAAATTTGCCTTCAGATTATAGTTCTACCCAAGTCACAGGAATCCAATCTATGCAAACTGAGGGTATCATTAACCCGAAAACATCCGAGACAGTATATCAGGTAGCTTATTATACGCTTCATCGACTAATGTTTTCTGTAGTATATATGTTTAATTTTCTTAATTATTTGATGCACTAACAACACCCCTACCCCTACCCACATCTATGATCTGTAATATTTTCTTATTAACATGTTAAGGATGGGATCCTGGATGCCCAAAATGCTGTTGTTCCCCCAGTTGACTTCCCTCTGCGACATTTTAATATCAACTCTTTACAGGTATATTAGTCTTCTGTTGGTTATTACTCCCCCGCCCCACAAAGAGCTTCTTCGACTTTACAAAGATCAAGAGAAGTGTTGAAATGTGATAATTATGTGGGTCGAATTTATTCAAAAGATAGAAAAGTTTTGTAGGCCTCATATTCCTTACCTTTAAAGGAAAAAGTAGAAGTGATGTTTTTTCTGGGACATCTAAATAAAGTGTGAAGTTCTTAGTGGGACGGAGTGAGTATACATGTATAAATGGGTTTGCTTTGCTGGGAATGTGATAATGGCCTGGTTTGTTATTATAGTTAATTTTGATTTAATTGAATCTGTATTTTTCACTACGTAAAGGTATTTTTAGTGCCCCAATGTAATTGAACATTCTTCTTGTCTATTATTTTCATGGGTTACATTTTATTACCATTTTGAAGTGCTTGTTGTTAGTATATAAGTAGTTGAATTGTAAGATGTTGGTAAAAATTTACCCTTTGTTTTAGAACTTAATTTGGATTTTATTCCCATTCTCCCTGTGTCCCGCAAAGATCTTCTCGCTTTGACTTTACGGAGTTGAGCAAAAGTAAAAATTAAAATTGTGTGGTTAGAATATGTATAGAAGAGGGAAATCTTTTGAGCACTATATTCCTTTCCTTGAATGAAAATGAGAAAACTGGGGAATTGATTTTCGGATATCCCACAAAGGAAAAATACAATGTATTTGTGGGATAGAGGGAGTGGTATATATCATCCATATTTCCGAACCTGTGATTTTAGTGGTGATCATATATGATTGATGATATAAATCTCAAGAAATTTTAGTCTTTTTATGTTATTTTCTTAGATAACCTTGTCTAGTGTTTTTCATTACAGATAATAAAAGATGAAGACCTTGAAGAGTTGAAGGAATTGGGTTCTGGAACATTTGGCACTGTGTATCATGGAAAATGGAGAGGAACTGATGTTGCCATCAAGAGAATAAAGAAAAGCTGCTTCACTGGTCGCTCATCAGAGCAGGAGAGGCTGGTGAGTTTTCTATGGTGGTTTTATTATTATGCAATAAGTGCATCATTCTTTTGACCTAAAGAGCTCTTACTGCTCTAGGAGCCTATATAGATGTTTAGTTTTTCTTCGCATTAGCCTTCTTCATACATTACTCGAAATCTATACAGACTGATGAGTTTTGGCGTGAGGCTGATATTCTTTCAAAGCTTCACCACCCAAATGTAGTGGCATTTTATGGTGTTGTGCAAGATGGGCCCGGAGGAACACTTGCTACCGTTACAGAGTTCATGGTGAATGGATCTCTTAGACATGTATTGCTTTGCAAGGACAGGTACCAGCTAATTTTAGATTAGTACCTACTGTTATAGTAAACCTGATCGAACATATTTTCTTATTTTTTATTTTGTAATTTTCGAGACATCTTGATCGTCGCAAGAGACTCATCATTGCAACAGATGCAGCGTTTGGAATGGAATATTTGCACTCGAAGAACATTGTGCATTTTGACTTGAAATGTGACAATTTGCTAGTGAACTTGAAGGATCCCTCTCGGCCAATTTGCAAGGTGAATGGATATAGATGAGATCCGTATGCCATTATTAGTCATTTAAAAATGTTGGCCTATTAATTATCAACGTTATCATATTGAAATTCTTGCAATACTCCAAATTTTACTGGTAGAGATCTGTCTCCTCGCCTCTGAGGAAAAGCAAATGTGCTAGTTTTCATGTTCTTTGTCTTGATTAAACCTACTTTGAAACGATAGTGTTATCTTCACGCAGGTGGGTGATTTTGGACTGTCCAAAATCAAGAGAAACACGCTAGTGACTGGTGGTGTAAGGGGAACTCTTCCATGGATGGCCCCTGAACTGTTAAATGGGAGCAGCAATAAAGTTTCGGAGAAGGTAGGGCAGGTTTCTAGTTTTACTATTATTGCTACAACTATTAATACTACGACTTTTATTATTAATTTACCCCGTAGTATTATTTTAAAGAATATTAGAACGACTACTAACACTACTACTATTATTATTACCCCGTAGTATTATTTTAAAGAATATTAGAATGTGTGTAACAATATTTTCATGTACGTCTTTTGCCCAATTCTGTCAACAGAATAGCTTTCTCATGTTTTTTTTTGATTGACCCCATTCTAGTATTCACCTAAAACAAAACATCATTCCTTTTGCAGGTTGACGTCTTCTCCTTTGGAATCGTACTTTGGGAAATTCTCACTGGCGAGGAACCTTATGCCAATATGCATTATGGAGCAATCATAGGTTTCTCTTTTTATTCCACTTCACCCATAGCGAGTCATATTGGTTTCTGTCAAACATTTCAATGACTCCTCAGTTTTCCTTTTAAGCAGGTGGTATTGTGAACAACACCTTAAGGCCACACATTCCTAGTTTCTGCGACCCCGAATGGAGAATGCTAATGGAACAGTGCTGGGCCCCGGATCCCGCAGCCCGCCCATCCTTCACCGATATCGCCAGACGCTTACGTGCCATGACGGTTGCATGTCCCACAAGACACCCCCCACACCCAACACAGCAATCCAAATGAAGTGATTTGCCATTTTGTCTGCCGACTCTCACGTACAGTCTACCCCACTTTTTACCCATACATAGTTAATGCTAGAGTTACAAAAATAGAACTCACAAAATTCACAAACTCTCATGGTTGTCTATTTTTGCAACTCTAGCATTAGTCATCCATACAATGCATATAGTCATCGTCTTCGTCTGTCTATAGTTATCATCCAACCTCATCGGTTGACAGAAGGATGCATTGGTATTGAATTGTGAAGCCAAATAACGTACTGTCCACGATTGGTAGTGGACAGCGCAGGTATGTGTGTATATTGTTAATAATTGTTGAATCGCGAGCAGAAAAAATATTGCAGTGTATATGTATTGCGGCATTGAGCCATGTTTGCACATATAAATACAAGAAGGCTGATTTTGAGAATAAGAAATGTGTATTCGGATTATACAACTAGTACCATAGAACTGGCAAATAGGTCAGTTATGTCAAGTTCAAGTTAGATTTTTTTTCTTGATTTGGGTCACGTTAGGTTCGTATCATTGGATTCGGTTCCACCCAACGCGGATTAGGAGCCTCTAATATTCTGAATCTTGTATAACATTTTCATTCACCATCTGGTGCTTGAGTTCTAATAAAGAAAAATGAAGGTACAAAGAAATGGCTCTATGTCAGCCTGCAATAAATGTTTAGAGACTGAAAATACGTCTTTGTGAGGGATGTGCTGGTCTGGGAAATTTATCTAAATAAGACTAAAACATAATGATTTTTTTCAATATAAGATTATATGTTTTTATTTCTCAATGTAGGACCATGGGTCGTTATCCATTAATCATTATTGAAGTAAATATCCCCCATAATAGCATATTATTCCTCTTACTAGACATTAGGAAATGATCTATGTTTTAGTCTTATTTAATGTAATTTTTTTTAGACAAAAGATAATTTAGGAGAGCGATTTTTTATGAATATGCAACTGCTTTGAATAGTACTTCCTCTGTCTTGTTTTAAATCGTCCGTTTTGACTTTGGAGCATATTTAAGAAAAGGAAAAGAAGGGAGTTGACTTTTTAAAATTGCGCCTCTATGCATTTTTTGCGTTTTTGATAAAAAAAAAAAAAGGAGTAAAGGACACAAATAAGAAATGCAAAACTGCCACTTATGGAGTAAAAAACACAAATAATAAATGCAAGTACAACAATCATTACAAATATCTAATCTAACACCAAACACATCAATATATCACATCCTTGTCTTCAAGGGAAAATTTCCCTCCATTTAATTACACAAATGTAAACATTACTTAAAGAGTACATCCTGCATAATTAAGGAGTGCATCCTGCAAAGAAAAACTCTTCCACTCTTCCCATAGACAACACGAACAGAGATGCTGCCATGGTACCTTCAGTTCTTCATTCCACTCCACGTCCTCACCCATACATCTCCAGCAGTGCACTTGTCACAGAAGAAGAAGAACAAGAAGAAGAAGAACAAGAACAAGAACAAGAAGTACAAGAACAAGAAGAAGAAGTCAGTGTTCCCATCGAACAAATCAAAAGAAATCTGAATGGTGTAGAAAGGCGAGTAATCCTAGACTGCTTTCTACACAATTTAACTAATGGAAAACTTCAGCACAGCACAATTGGAGAAATCATGAAGGATTTTAACTTGTACCGGAGAACAGTCAGTTCTCTTTGGCATAATTTTTGTAACCAACTCATGGATGGATCAGTGTTAGATGCAAGTAACAACAGAAGATGAGTTGCTGGCAGAAAAAGGGTCTGTCTGAATTTGGAACAGATTGAGGACATTCCATTTCACAGAAGAACTAACATACGTTCTTTGTATGCTGCTATACCAGTACCCAAATCCACACTACATAGGTGGATACAAGGAGGGAAACTACAAAGTCACATAAATGCTATAAATCCTTTCCTAACAGAGTAAAACAAGCTGAAAAGGTTAGGTTTTGTATTAAATCAGTTCATTCCAGAAACCCTTCCCCACTCACCCTTGTTTAAAGATTTCTCCTGTACTATTCATGTGGATGAGAAATGGTTTGAAATGTCCAAACAATCACTCATGGTGTATAAGACTAAGAGGGAAGCCCCATAGAGGTGTACAGAGGACTTATGATTCATAAAGTTCTGCCAGCAATCAAGGAAAAAGTACCAGATGCACTTAGAAAACACATAATCATACAGCAGGATAATGCAAAGCCTCATATTGCTGTGGATGACATGGAGTTTGTGCAAGCAGCCAATGTAGGTGGTTACAAAATTGAGCTTACATGTCAGCCACCAAACTCACTAGACTTAAATATTTTAGATTTGGGCTTTTTTGCATCAATACAATCATTGCAACATCAGGCAACCTCTAAAAATGTGGATGAATTAGTACAACATGTGGCAGAAGCATATGCTAATTTGGATGCTAAGAAACTGAATAATGTATGGATCAGTTACCAGTTAGCAATGATAGAGATTACGAAAGTACAAGGAGGCAATAACTATAAATTGGCACACATAGGTAAGGCCAGACTTGACAGAGAAGGTACACTGCCAAACAAAGTGGAGGTAAGTGCAGCACTTTATGAGTCTAGTCTATATGCCTTACAAGGTGTCCAAGGTAGAAATGGGGAAGGGAGTGCATCAGGAACAATCTAAGTGATATCATCTTTGAAATGTCTTTTGTTTACTATGTTCATCGTATGCACTTTTTTTGTTTGTTTTTTGACAGTGTGAATGGAAACTTATGTATGCAAACATTTTTTTGGATTTTGGATGTATATATGGATAATGAACATGTGTTTGCTCTTATTGCGTAAATGGATGCCCTCTTTCTAAAACCTCCAAACACTTAAGATACAGTAAGAGGATACACAATTGTTAGTTGTTACCTCCTGCACTAATCATGTGTGGGTGGGTAAATTTCCAAAAAAAAACAATTATGAAAGCATCACAAACACTACCCCAAATGACCATAAAGGTTACAAACACCAAGCATATAGTCCACGCATCACATTCGAGTGCAAATTATCATCATTAGTTTCTCATATAATGTGAACTATAGAGTAATGCACATATTAAGGAGGCACTTAATAAAAATATTGGACGCACATAAGAAAGAGAGGAATACTCTCCTAAAAGTAAGACGTCCAAAGTTGATTATGTTAGTCTTAAACATTTGAATACTAGTTTGTATCCGAGAATAATCATGTTGGTTCATGCGAATAGACTATTTATTTGGTTTTTCTATATACTACCTTTGTCTCTAAATATTTGTCTAATTTTGATATAAAAAAAAATCTTATTAGATGCATTTTACAAAATATTTTTAAAATGTTATTTTATATACTTAATATATTATTTCCTCGTCTCAAATTAAATTAACTAATTACTATTCACATGGTCAAATTTCATTCACTTTCTGTCTTTATTTTTATTTTTCGTTTGATAAAATTATATATCCATGTCACCCCTTGGTTTGTAAAGCTTTTGATATACTTTTTTAACATGTAAAGTTTATATTTTGCTTCAATTTTTTTAATAAATTACATTAAAAATAACTTCGATTAAATATCGTAAACCGAACCAGATGTACTAGATAATATGAGCGCATTTGTATGTTCATTTTACAAAACTCCGCATAATCGTTCAAGTTGCTTACATCTTATTTGATTGAACTATTTTACAAAACAACCAAATTAATTTTTATCTAAAAAATGCTTAGGGCATCCCATTTTAGACTCCGGCGCATCAACATTTTAGTATTTCAGGCTTTTTTCAGGCTTTAGAAAAAATTACTCAAATCCTCAAACTCTTTCAACCATTGTCACATCAACATTCGATCACCTTTTATTCTATTAAATTTTATTTCTATTTAAGCAGTTATCTAACATGTAATTGTATTGTACATTGATTTTTTATCAAATTTTTAATCATTAAAAGAAACCAATCATAAAATTAGAGAAAGTTATATAAACTTAACACACATAAATACATAAAACAAAATGAGGCATTTCATTAAAATATTTTAATTAAACACACATAAAATATAAATTGCATAAAATAAATTAAAAGCACAACAAATTAAAATTACATAAGTAGATATAATTGAAATATATAAGAGAATTCCAAACATAAAAAAATTAAATATTAAATTCCTATGAGAATCCCAAAAATAAAAAAAAATTAAATATATAATTCATAAATAAAAATTACATAAAATAAAATCAGAATAAAATAAAATTATATAAACAAACATATTGACGATTGTTTTTTATTACAAAATAATCCAAACTAGTTTTTATTTTACAAAAATAATTGTTATTGATTACACATGTATGGTTTTTATTGGATGAATTGAATTAGAAGTCTTGAGAGTGAGTATGAGAATTTAAAGACTCTTTTCCCTATTATTCAAATTTTCTGTGCACCTAATGGTAAAGTCTGGAGAACAGAATCTTAAGAGTCTTTCTCATACTCTATCCAGACTCTCATTAGGAATATCCTTCTACACGACTCGTAGTGTATCCTACTCTTTTGCATACTTTCCAATTGTCAAAGAACCAATTCAACTAAAAAACTCAATCTTATGGTTGTGGCAAAAAAAGTAATACTCCGTCCCTGAGTATTTATCTAGTTTTGACTTTTTCGGTCACCTGTTTTCAACCTTTGACTTATAATTAAATAAAATATATATTGTATATTAATTAGATAAAATAATATTTTAAAAATGTTTGATATAATTTTTGTATCAATATCTAATTTCATTTTTATTTAATTTGCGTTCAAAGTTTACCAAATTTGATCAAAAAAGTAAAAAATGGACAAACACTCAGGAACAAAAGAAGTATATTCTAGCAGGCTCCTCACAGACGTCGGTTAGAACCTTGCACGTAAAACTTTAATTTTTTAAAATTAGGTGACATTTAGATTCGAACTCGTGACCTCTTGATCAACAATACTCTCTTTATTATTTGTCCACATATCACTATTTAAATGGGAGGGCATCCATGCCCTCTCAAATAAGAAGGCATGGGAGCATTCCACAAAGTTTAATATGGAGCAACGTTAATTTCAAAATTTGCAAAATGCTCCCTCTAAATCAATGGCATACTATACATTACTCTTATCAATTATTTAATCTACCATTTATTATTTTTTCCTTCTTTAACAAATCACTCAAAGTAAAAGTAAAATATTTATCTCCAAAATACTATCTTTGTCTTGTAGTATTTGTCTAGCTTTTGTACGGTAATAAATATTTTTTTGATATTATATATATATTGACATCATTGTTAAAACTTCTTATTTAGAAATAAAATATGGAAATCATATTTCATATGTATGCTATGTTATACTCATAGTTTAGTCTTTATTAATACTTCAAAAATATAATCTGGCCATCTCAATCAAAACTTAATTATATTTATTTACTACCTTCGTCTATAAGTATTTGTATAGTTTTAACTTTTCACAATAAAAATAGATAAACTTTAAACATTAATTAAATAAAATTTATATCAGATATTTATTCAAGAATAATTTTATTAGATAGATCTATCTTGTAAAATATTTTTTAGATATTATTTTATCAAACTAATATCCCAAATAAATTTTTATTATCAATTCTTGTTTACTAGAAAAAATCAAAGTTGGATAAATACTCAAGGACGAAGGTAGTGATTATGAATTGATAGACCAAATTTTGGAGCTTTACAAAATTCAAAGGGTTTTTGACGAAATTGATTATAATTCAAAATTTAAAATTAATTGTTTTTAATTTAAAATTTTTGGTAGTAGAAACTGCCAAAATTAAAATACTAATGAAATATTCTTCATTGGAATTTTTTGACAAAACTCTACAAAATATACAATCTTACGTCGAAACTCTGCTAAATGTTTTAGACAAAATTAACTTTTCGTAATGTTCAAAATGCAATTCAAATACACCAATATTTTGTATGCGTGTGCATTCATTGTGTTGATCATTTGATAAAATAAAATAGACATGTCATCACCACTTGCTTTGTAAAACTTTTGATGTGGTTTTTGAATATATATAAGTTATACGGAGTAGTTTTTATTCCTATACGATTAAGTAAATATAATTATTTGGAAATATATACAATTTTTCACGTTTGAAAGATAATGATAATTTTGAAATGGATAGAATATAAAAAGCAAGATCGGACGCGAAATATAACAATATTGTTTTTTTTAAATAAATACATATGGATAATATTAAAATAAGTATGTACAAAAAAGTTTTTTATTTTAATTTTCAATATAACCAAACACAATTAAAAATTCAATTGAAATTTCATTTAAAATTTTTAAACAAGAAGAGAGGGTTTTGCAAATTTTGATAGAGTGATGCGTGCCATTTGGAGGGAGCATTTTGCAAATTTTGAAACTAACTATACTCCATATTAAACTTTGTAGAATACTCTCATTATTATTTATCCACATGTCACTATTTAAATGGAAGGGCATCCATGGCCTTTGAAATAAGAAGGCATGGGAGAAAAACCCTAGATTTTATACTCTATCCCCAATCTTTTAAATGAAGCACCAAGCTAGTGCATGTTGTGTATTTGTATCATCTCACCAAACTCTCTTCTATGATGAAAAATCCATAAAACCCTGCAATGTGTACACAGATTCCGATTTTTCCAATTATTATCAAATTCAAACCGCTGTCATGAATCTGTCCAAAACTTGTTTTACACTGGAATTTACACAAACAAAATCTGGCCAACATTCAAAAGGCTCTCATGAGGCACATTAAAAATCACACTATTCTCCCTACAGATCTTCCTGAGAAACGCATACACGTAATTGATTGCCATCTTCTTACACCACCCGGACTCTCTGCTGGCCCTCACAATGGTGTTCCCCAATATGTGCACCACCCCGGCGTCCCGAGAGCTCGTCAAAAACTCCATCTCGTCCATCTCCGTCGCACAACTCTTCCGGGACGAACCCGACACTGTAGCGACTTCCGTGTTGTTGTTGCTGCTGCTGTTGTCATTCTTCGGCACCGTCGAGAAATCTCTCGAACGGTTCCCGTACAGGCTGTACTCGTCCGAGTCGGAGCACCCTTCCATCATGGACTCGAGCCGGACGAACACGAAAAGGTTGTCGAAAAGCTTCTTCTCAAACTCGTCGTCCTTCTTGTGAAGGTCTTTGTATCCGTACCTGAAAAAATCCGGATCGGATTAGATTTGTGCTGATCTAGAATGAGAATTGGACTTTGAAAATTCACAGTGCGCACGCACGGAGAAGAAGGGATAGAAGGGATAGAGGTTTCCTCCCAATAAAACCCTACCAAACATGGTTTTTTATTTGTTTTGCGAAAAGATTAACGGGACAGTTCCTGTGACATTGAGACCAATGTTATAGGATGTTATAGGATGACCCGAGGCTCCTATGGTGCTGCATTCAAAAAATTGATGGTTCTCACCCCCTGCCCCCCACCCCTCGCTTCGCCGATTGGCTGAAGTGGCCATGGTGGTAGCCAATCGGCGAAGGGAAGGGCTGGGGATACATGGGGCAGGGGGTTTATGGGAGGTTAGGGTATGCACCATCAAATTTTCAAACAAAGCATTGTAGGAGCCCCGGGTCATGCTATGACATTGAAATTCAATGTCACATGACCCGGGGTGAAAGACTATTCAATAATGTGGAACTAGCAATACCTCGCGACACACCGGAACATGTGAAAACTCTTGGGTCCAATCCGTTTCACGAGGAACCTCTCGTCCTCCGGAACCATGTACACCGGAAGGGACTTGACGCAAACAAACACAACCACCGAGTGAATCGCGGGTAGGTTGGTGATGAAGTGTGAGAAAATGTGCGGGACACCGCTGGCTAGCTCGGTGTAGACAAGGCCTATCCCGGGGACACGGACGAGGCCCAGACTGGGGCCCAGCCCGAGAATCCAGGCCATTGACACCTTGCTGTGCATCTCGAACTCGTAGCGCTTCACGGTGCCGTAGTGCCACACGTACATGATGACGAGGAAGGCGGCGGCGATCACAAGTGGGACCCAGCCGCCCTGGTCGACCTTGAAGAGTACAGCGGAGAAGTAGGTGCATTCGACCACCAGAGAGAAGCAGGTGAAGACGAGGACGAGAAGCCAGTGGCAGTGCCAGACCAGTAGCATTATCAACACCATCAGAAACGTCGTAACCAGCATCACTATCACTACTGCTGTCCCTGTTATGGAAGAAGCATTAAATTGTGGTCACACGTTACCATTGGCTCAAATATAGACACACAACAAAGTATATGCAGTAGCAGAAACAAAGCCAGAACAAAATAAGATCACAGAGACAAACACAACATCATAAACTACAAACTGTGGCGCAAAGGTCTACCGAAGTATTTTAATCCCCGATCTCCAGACTTTCCTATATAAAGTCATATCATCGGTAAGATCCTAAAGTCGCAAGTCTTGCATAATCACCTCTTTTCAACGCATAGGAAAGGAATATGTTGCCTAAAAAAAAGTTGAAACGCACTTTTCACTATTCAACAATTTTCTTGCCACACTGAGCAAAGATGTTGATTTTACTCCAACCAATGACTCCCTTCTTCTGTAGAAGAACATTTATTTATAGTCTAATATACCATGTAAATAAGGTAAGAAATACATTGAAGGCAGTAATGGTAATCCTTAAAATCATGTTTATTTGGTTCTTGATTGACTTCTCCCTTACTTCCCTAGTTGTTAACATGAAGATGGACTTGGAAACAACCTCTCTAGTTCGAAGTAGGGGGGAAAACCTTACTTTTGTGAGATTTTACTGGGTTTGTTGTTGTTGTTATATTCTTAAAATGAAGCTATCACCAAACCTGGGATAAACAAGATCGGAAAAGAAGAAGAAAAATGAATGAAAAGTTAAAAAGTTGATGAACACCTTGCCCTTAGTGGAGTAGCACTCCTTGCCTTTGGCAAACAAGAAATTTTGTAAACTTGGCCTTGCCGAAGACAACTAGGTTATAGTCTACCACATGTTTGAGGTCTGGCACTTGCTAAATTAAAGCATTTATTGGTTTGGATTTATAAATCTGAAACAAAGTTTTCCAAAAATAGCTTCAGGAACTAGAGAATAATATACAAGTAGTACAAAATAGGTATTTTTATGTGCAGCTGGACTTTGTTTAGGCATACCCATAATGGCTCCAAGTGAATTTTGGACCCTTGAAGGCACTTTTGCAAACAAGGGAGCAAAAGTATGATTTCATGTGTTTAAGATGCACCTTTTTTTTTCCACACTTGGCACGAGGGTTGATCAGCCAATTGACATTAAAAAGAATCTCTTTTGAATTCCCAGCACGCTTCTTCAAAACATGAAATAACCAACCAAACCAAACACCCTCATTATATCCCACTCAAAAGTAGGGTCTCGGAGGCAAGATGTGTACACATCCTACCCCTCTAAGACAAAGAGTTGAGAAGGCTGTTTGGGGAAGGACCCTCGGCAAAAAGTGAAAACGTAGCAAGTGAAATGAAAATGAAATTATAAAAGAAATGAGAATGCATGGATTATATAGTTCTTTTAACAAAGCATAGATAATATAGTTTTTTTTGTTTTTAAACAAAGCATAGATTATGCAGTAAACGCACCATAGGCATTTCCAATTTGGCTTTGATTTCGAAACCCAGCAGTCACGGCAATGCAGAGTATCATAAGGATCCAATTGATATCCGGGATATATATTTGCCCACTGAACTTTTTCGACGTGTGAACAACCTTGACCCTTGGAAAACAGCCTAAAGCCAAAGCCTGCTTAATAATTGAAAAAGTAGCAGATATGGTGGCTTGACTGGCAACAATGGCCGCTAAAGTGGCTATGACAAACACTGGCCAATATATGCTCTCTGCACCAAAATGGGTTTCATCAGAAATGTGATGAACAGATAAGTTCTTCATAGCTAGGATCAGAAGTTTATGAATTTATTTTAGTTAATAAAAGAGAAACCACACTAAAGAACACACTTGATACAACTTAACCAGTCTTTTGCTGCTGCAAGCAGATGTACGTGATCTATAAACCCTGAAACTTAAGTTTATCCAAAAACAAAAATTGAAAATCAAAAGAAACAATAGTATAATCATATGATGAACCTGGGATAGAACGATAGAATGCATCAGCAACATGATGTTTATGTTGCATGAGGTACGCTGCTTGTCCGCTGTAGGCCAAAAGAAGGCAAGGGAATACAATAACTGTGAAAGCAAGTTGAATGGCAGATACGGGAAAATGAGCAAGGTCGGCAAAAAGTGCCTCCGTCCCTGTATAAAACAGATGGAATATTAATTCTTTTTAAACTGAGTGACGGTGAGGTTCGAACTCGTGACCTCTAGGTCCGCAAGCCTTTGATACCATGTCAAGAAACCAACTCAACTAAAAGGTTTTATGCTCTAAAAAAGGATGTGTAGCAAGTTTAACAAAACTATTTAAAAAAAAGTAGACCTGTAATACTGAGCATGACCCCTCCAAGTGATATCCAACCATCTTTACGCCCCGTCCTCAAATAACGATATATATACAGAGGGGAAAAGGCCTTGAGCACTGAGATATCATATTTCCAGACATTGAAAATGCCTATTCCTCCTATCGTTAGAAACCAGAGCAGTACAACTGGAGCAAACATCCATCCCACCTTGTCTGTCCCGTAATGTTGCAAGCTAAACAAGCCAACTAATATAAGGACAGAAACAAGCACGACTGCATCTGTTTGGGAGTAAGGTCAATTAAAGATTATGTTATATTCAATGATATATGCAAGTAAATGGAATGTCACTCTTGCCAATAGAGTAGTACCACTGCTCATCTTCGGACGGTTAACCTTGATTCCACCAGAAGCTGAAAGAACTAATTAATGTAAAAGATACTTCGATTAACACTTTAGAAAAGAATTTTCTTAAAATAAAAATGCAGCATGACAAACCTAAAGAAGTTAAGAGGGTCAATTGTTTTCCAAGCATAAAGTACTATAATGATGGACTGGACGGATACCTGAAATGGCGGGAGTAAGAATTCCATCCCCAATTACCATACAAGTGCCAATAAGGACAAGAATGAGAAGTGCATCCTTTGTGACCGTGTACGCCTCCAGCCATCTCTTCGTTTTTGCAGCAAATGAATGCTCCGGAAACGTGCGACGACTATAGGTTGTTAGGTCCTCGTCCGTCCTATGTTGGTTTGGAATTGTTTTAATCTTCGCATGTCTACAGAGTAGCGAATAGAGAGCAAAGGTTCCGCCTGAAGAACAAACAACCCCTTCAGTCATCACCACTCAAAGACAATGAGAGATTACTAAGCCTTTGTTTGGATGAGATAAGAAAATGAAAAGAAAGAAAATGGTAAGAAGAGAAAACAATGAGAAGATGGGAGGAAAATAATCGTTGTTTCGATGAAAAGAAAATGGTGAGAAAAGTGAAAAGAAAGAAAATATTAAAATATAAATTGCCATTGGTACCATTTTCTCATCTCCTCATGTGAGAACATTATTTTCCCAATTTATCTCTCTCATTTCTCTTCTCCCCATTTTCTTTCCGAACCAAACATGAGAAAGTTTCTTGAAATTTGTGTTTTCTCACCATTTGTTTTCTTACCTATCATTTTCCATACATCCAAACAATAGCTAAATGCTCACATACCTTGGCCATTGTCATTTGCCCTACATACTATGAACACATACTTGAGCAGCGCTACAAGAGTGAGTGAGTATATAATCAACGAAAGTGCGCCGATTACATCTTCAGTGTCTCGAATCCCGTGGGGGAATGTATTGTAGAACACGTACAAGGGAGACGTACCAAGGTCTCCATAAACTACTCCCAAGCTCTGAAATGCAAGCCGCAATAGCAACACTGTTGAAAATTTCTGTAACAAGAACAGGGTGATAATGATAGTCTTGGCTAATGATTCTTCTCAAACCCATCAGTACTCTAACTTTAAGTGTGAACCATTAAGAACTGGTGTTGTCACCAAAGATAAACATAATAAGCTCATCATCAATATAAAAACTTAATTATGTTGTAAATAATTGAAATGATTTAGCCCGTCCCAAACGATAGTCACAAATTAAGCTTTGAAGTTTCTCAATTTGCAAAGCAAGAAAGTTGCTTCTCACAAAATACATCAATACCCACAAAATATCTTTATGACTGGACGAGAATGCCTTCTTAATTTCCTTGGATCATGCTTCTCTAACTATCCTTAAAGCAAACAAAACGCAACTTACTCATCAATCAAAGGAAGAAAACGAAAAAAAAAACAGAAGAAGAAGATCTCACTGTTTAAATATCCACCATCCAATTCCCAAAAAGCACACATAATTCAACAATAGATAGAAAGGAAAAGTTTAACATTAAAGAGGAGCCGAAAAGCACACAAAATTCAACAATAGATAGAAAGGAAAAGTTTAACATTAAAACCTACCTTTTCTCTGTACATGTTTCTCAGTCTTCCAGCCTCCTCATCCATGGGTTGGTCAAGCTTCTGGTCCAAAACCCACATCCCACCCTTAGTTTCATTCTCCTCTTCATCAATCTCCATAGAAGAAGACATCTCCTCTCAAGAAATGAAAAAAGAAAACAAGAGCTTGCACGGAATACCCTTCAATCCCAATGCTTCTCAGCTTGCAGAGAAGAAAACCCAGAGATCAAACCGCCCAATTCGACAAAATTGAAGTTGGGATTTCACGTGAACCCACAAAAACAAAACAAAAAAAACTCAACAGAAAAATGATTACTTTCACCACAGAAACCCCACTGCCAAAATTGGGAGAGCAGAAGTTGGGAGGAGTCGTTTGTTTCTGCAAAAGTAATTGATTTTTACTGCAAGAATAGCTGGCATCCTGAGGCTGAAAGCCTGATTTTTGCCTAGTAGGGTCAAGACTCAAGAGCTACTGAGAAGCCAAAGTGAAGTTGATATCATCCCCACAGCGTACCAAAGCCAATTCCAAAAGGTTCACCAACTAAAACAACAGATAAAGAAAATAAATCACTTTAAATAAATAAACAAAATGCATACAATACGACCCGCACGTATTGTTTTTATGGAAAAGTTGGAGTCTTTTGAAAGCTCCATTTACCGATCTGAAGTGATCAACAAAAGCCCCACATCTAATCTTCCCTTTAAATATTCAAAGAAATAAAGAAAAGCTTTTTGCTTTCTTTTTAATCTAAGGAAAAGAACTATCTCTGGTTTTCACTGTGAATAGCAGAAAATGTGAACTAAAATAGTAAAACTTACCTGGGGAAAAAATGTATACTCTCTAGAATTTACCTCCCTTGAAGATGAGGATAAAGGGAGAGAGGAGCGGTGGGATACTCGTATTCAGCTTGTGCATTATGTCGTCTCTGAACTCCTTACCACTATTGTGTGCTACAAGTCTGCTAAACTGTAGGATCCTGTCATTATCATCCATTTCCTTTCTCTTTCTATTCTATGCATGTTAATGTCTGAGGATTTTAACTAAATAGCACTAAAACATAATGACTTTCCTTAAATAGCATTACATATGTTTTTTTCTCAATGTAGCACTTTTAGTCATTATTCAAGTAAATATTTGCTATCACCGGTCATTATGGACATTATAAAGTGTTATTTAGGGAAGAAAACAATCTAAGTGTTATTTAGAGAAATGACTTAAGTTTTAGTGCTATTTAGTGCAAATATTTCTTAATCCGTGTCTTTTCCAATAATTAATACTACGTACTCCCTAGAATTTCTCTAAATAAGAGTAGAAAAATACGTAATATAAAAATATTAAAATGATGGTTTTAAATTTTTAAAACCAAAATAAGAGTATAATGACAGTGTGATGTGAGAATATGCGTTGAAACTGTGATGTAACAAATGATAGCAGCATAATATGGTAGTACAATCAGTCAACCGCCAACAATCGAGGGCAATACTCTGGGGGGCAGCGGCGACGGATTGCAATGTGGCAGTTGCAGTATGACAATGTGGTGACTGTGCAGTGTAACTATAGTAGGCTGAACTCTTATTTTGGTCTTAAAAAACTTAATAATCATATTTTGATATTTTCATAGTCTTTACCCTTATTCAAGAAGTTCTACCTTTAATAAAACTTCACAAATATAGAAATAATTAGACATCGATCGGGGTTGCGTTAGGCATGCCACGCAGCCCTTAAGAGCATTGGCAGCGGTGAGGTCTTACCTTGCCACGCACTGCCACTCATGGGGAGGAATGCAGCACAATGGGCAAAGTAAAAAATGGATCGCATGCCATGTGGCGTGTCACTCTGATTTCCGTGGCGAGTGCGAGGCAAGAAGCGGCAAAAAAGCACTCTTCTTCCAGTACTTTGATTTGCTTCCACCGTAAAAAAACAAAGCACTATTCAACTACTAACTACTTTACTTTGCTTTCTCTTTTTTTTAATTTGTATTCTAGTTTTAATTTGTATTCTATTTCAAATTTCCATATATTCAAATACGGAGTAGAAAATCAGCAGCAAAAGTCCTTCCCTGCATTTTGCAAAAATTATTTATACTCTATTTTTAATTTCAAATAGAAAACTAAACTAATTTTGAATAACTAAATTATACCGAGTATAATTTAGATTTTAAAAACAAAATAGGTAAAAATATTTATAATTTAAAAAAACCAAAAGTTAAATGTATCGAGTAGAACATAAAGTAAAATCTGGTGATTAAAATATATAAAAAAAATGTAAATAGAGGAAAAAATAATGACATGCCAATGCAGGATGTACCACTCTAATGTCATGCCACTGTGTGACTAGACTGACTATGATTGGCTCAACAGTGTCATGTCAGCGTGTGGCATTCCAGTATATGTCTTGCCATTGTTCATGCTCTAACACCGAAGGGAACACCTCCCATATTCAATGTTCTGCGTAGAGGTAATGCAGATGCCCAAAACGCCGACTGACATTCCCTTTTTTATTTTTTGAAATGTTGATTTTTTTTGACCGTTAGGTCAAATTTTAAAGAAAAAATTACCCAAAACAATCTCAACTTTACTCGGTCTTTCAAAAATAATCCCACCTTTCACTGTGATGTATAATAATCCCAACTTTACTGAAATTTGTCAGTTTTGGGTCGCCGTTAAGTTTCTAACGGAGGGATAACGGAAATGCCCGTTTTAGGCAACAAAATGTAAGTTGGAATTATTTTTGATGAATTTTTGTTTTTTAATTTTTTTTGAAATTTTTATTTAAATTTTTTGAATTACTTTCAACCTCCATTTCTTATTCTTTTTTAAAGATTATTCTTACATTAGAAAAAAAATACATATAAAAAATAATGAAAATGAGAAAAATAACTAAAATCATACAAAATTAATCAAATAAATAATGTAATCAATAGAAATTAAACAGAAACTGGTAAGAAATAAAATAAATATATATGGAGTCGTGGGTTTAACATTTTACACACTATACGGAGTCTTAATGTACTACTTATTTTTTAAAAGAACAAGCCGTCTGGTAAAGTTTGAAATATTGTAGATACTTTTTTCTTAAAAATAAGAAGTGATATGTTAATAATTTGTATAATGCCTAAAATATTAAAGCCCACCCGTATATTTTTATTTTACTTTTTCCAATTTCAAGTTAGTTTTCATTGATTACCTTATTTATTTTATTATTTTTGTATCATTTTAGTTACATTTCTTATTTTTTCATTTTTTATATCTATTGTTTTTATTTTTTAAACTAAGACTAATCTTTAAAAAAGGAAAAAGAAATGATGATGGAGGTAGAAAGTAATTTAAAAATTCTAAATGAAAATTTCAAAAAAAAAATTCATCAAAAATAATCTCAACTTTCATTTTGTTGTCTAAAACGGGCATTTCCGTTAACCCTCCGTTAGAAACTTAACGGCGACCCAAAACTGGCAAATTTCATTAAAGTTGGGATTATTATGCATCACAGTGAAAGGTGGGATTATTTTTGAAAGACCGGGTAAAGTTGGGATTATTTTGGGTAATTTTTCCAATTTTAAAAATGAAATTTGATTTCTTTTGGGCCGTTAGGTCAGTTTACAAAATTACATTTCCTTCATTATTTAAATAACTTCTACCCGAATTTTTTTTACCAATTTTCTCTCCAATACTCTTACTTATCTTTCTCTTTTTCAGAACAAACAACTTTCATTAATTCAAAAGAGAAATAAGAAAATCAGGGGGGATAAAATCCCAATATAGGACCATATGTTTTTATTTTTCAATGTAGGACCTTTGGTCATTATCAAGTAGTCATTATTCAACTAAATATCCATCATTACTGGACATTATTCCTTCCACTAGGTCATTATTAAGTCTTATCAAGGGAATAAAAAAATTTAAGTCCTACATTAGGAAAGTCATTATGTTTTAGTCCTATTTAGAACAAACTAGTATCACACCCGTGCGTTGCACGGTTCATTTTTATGTTATTAAATTCAAATCATTTTTCAATGATAAAAATGAGATGCAATAAAATATAGAGATTATATTATTTTAAGGTAAAAAGCATCACTGCTTTACAAATTTCGAAAGACTTCTTTGTAGACTACATTATTGTACAATTTCTGGGAATATTTAGAGTATATTTAATTGTAATTGGCTATAGGCTATAATATACGGAGTATATAATTATAATAAGAAGGGTTAACTTTTTTCGAAATTGGGTGTATAATTATTCTTACCATAATTATTTTTTTCGAAATTGAGTGTATAATTGTATAACTTACTTTTTAAATTATTTCTGATTTTCAAAAACTTACTCTTTGCATTTGTATAACTTACCTTTATTAAAAACTTACGCTTTGGATTTGTATAACTTACCTTTTTTAATACGTTAATTATTATAAATATAATAATTAATTAATTATATTAACTTCCGATGGCTTACCATTTTATATTACTCATGTTAATTGTTATAAAAATAATTATATTAACTTCTGATGGTTAAGAATGACAGTTACTTATTTTTACCATAATTTCAGACGTTTCCAATATGTTGTCAAAATAACGTTGGTTAATTATTAGCTTATAATACATTGATTCCAATTTTATTAAAAACTTACGCTCTGCAATTTTATAACTTACCTTTTTAATTATTTCCAATTTTCAATACGTTAATTATTATATACTCCCTCCGTCCCAGTGTATTTGTCCAGTTTGACTTTTTCGAGTCAAACTGGACAAATTTTGAGGTTCAATTAAATAAAAATCGTAATGTATTTTAACATAAAAATGACTTTATTAGATTTATCATATTGAGAACTTTCAAAATTGTATTTCATTATACTAATATGCAATATAAATTGAAAGTAATTGGAGATCAAAGTTTGTCCAGTTTGACTCGAAAAGGTCAAACTGGACCAATACACTGGGACGGAGGTAGTATATAATAATTATATTAACGACACACTTACCATTTTATATTACTCACGTTAATTATTATAAAAATAATAGCTATTATTATATTTATACCTTTTTTAATAATTATAAATCCACAATTTTGGCCACTTACCATTTTAAGATCACAATTATTTACTCACCTTTCGGCCATTTTATAATTATTATAACTATAATAATTATAATAATTATTACTACAATTTTGGTCACTACAATTATTAACTTACCTTTTTTAATTAGTTCCAATTTTCAATACGTTAATTATTATATTTATACCTGTTTTAATAATTATAACTTCACAATTTCGGCCACTTACCATTTTATTTCACAATTATTGACTTACCTTTTAGCCATTTTATAATTATTATAAATATAATAATAATAATAATTACTACAATTTCGGCCACTACAATTATTAACTTACCTTTTTTTAATTATTTCCAATTTTCAACACGTTAATTATTATATTTATACCTTTTTTAATAATTAGAACTTCACAATTTTGGCCACTTACCATTTTAACTTCACAATTATTAACTTACCTTTCGGGCATTTTATCATTATTATAAATATAATAATTATAATAAACATTACTATAATTTCGGCCACTGCAATTATTAACTTACCTTTCAGCCATTTTAACTTACCTTTCTTTAATTATTATAAATATAATAATTATAATAATTATTACTATAATTTCAGCCACTTACCATTTTAACTTCACAATTGCCATTTGTAATTGTCATACTCTTTGGCCGGGAAAACCATATGTTAGCTCCATGTCTTTTCAAATAAAGTATGGATTAATTACCAATTATAAACGGTGCCATATTATTTGTTCCTTTTTTAAAATTAATTACCAATTATAAACAGTGTCATATTATTTGTTCCTTTTTTAAAATGATTACGTGTTAAAGCTGGTTATTACCGTGTGATAAAAAAGGAAGAGTATTTATTATTGCTTTTAGACCATTTTTTAGATTAATAATAATAATTATTTTTTAGATTAATAATATCACATTTTTAAAAAGTAATTTTTAAAAATCAAAGACAAAACTGTTCGTATTCAAAAGGAAATTGGGACTTACTTTTTTTAATTATTTCCAATTATCTTTTTTGTGAAATTGGGTGTATAATTGTATAACTTACCTTTTTTTAATTATTTCCAATTAGTTTGTTTTTGCGAAATTGGGTGTATAATTGTATAACTTACCTTTTGTAATTATTTCCAATTGGGTGTATAAAAATGATAGCTACGGTATTAATATACAGTGTGATAAAAAAGGAACACATTCCGAACGCCCCTACACAAAAAAAAGAGGTTAGACTAATGTACGAAATTGTACAATTAGTACACTCCATACGAATTGATAAATTCAGTGTGATAAAAAGTAATATTAATTTTAACTTCATATTACGCAATAATTATTTTTTAGATTTATAATTTCACATTTTTTAAAGGCATTGTGTGTAAAAAGTAATATTAATTTTAACTTCATAATAATTAACTTGTCATTTAAAAATGTAATAGCACATGGAAAATTAAGCATATGCCAAGTTTTTAATAATTATTATTATATTTTTGGCAACTTACCATTTTAAGTGAACAATTTCCATTTGTTAATGTAATAAAAATTACTCCATACCATTTAAGTGAATAATTGTCATTTTTGTAAATTTAATAACTTATGGAAAATTAAGCACATGCGTAAGTTTTTAATATTTATTATTATATTTTCGGCAACTTACCCTTTTAAGTCAACAATTGCCATTTATTAATGTAATAACGCATGGGCGAGAAAAACAAATGTTGACTTTATGTCTTTTTAAATAAAGTATGAATTTCACAAATTTAAATGTATACAAGATCTTGAGAAACATAATAGGACCATGCTAGGGTGCCACCACATGGGTGCACCCATGCTTTGCACAGACAAACACAGACGATAATTGTCTGTGACGCACCCATGGTATCGTCACCCATGGTATCGTCTGTATTTGTTTGTGCGAAGCATGGGTGCACACATGACACATGGTAGCACCCGTGTCACCCTAGCATCCAGTTACTCTATGTTCGGTCCATTTTTTAAATGTTGTCGCCAAATGCTGCTAAGCACTATCTCCAACAGTCGAGAGCCAGACTCATCAGTCACGTGCTTCTCGTCTCCGGTCTCCGCCAAGGCCGAACGCCACCGCGGCCCATGTCGAACGCCGCCGTGAGCCTGCAAAGTAGCTGCTTTACCAAGGTAAATCACTAAATCCTCCAGTCCTCCACAAATTTCTTACTCGAGATTTTTTTTCATCGATGTAAATAGTCTAAATACTTTTTATTTATTTAACCGTTTTAGATTCCTCCGTATGACTTATGGTAAGTGAATTTGTGATTCGCGAAGTATGAATTTGTAAGCTAGGGAGTATAAATTAAAAGCAACTTGTAAATTTGGGGATTTATGGTATACGCTTCGATTGATTAATTATGGATTAAAATCAATTGTTTAATTGGCAAATTCTTTTGTGTTCTTTGGACCCATACTCATTTTATGGACCACTATAAAAAACATGTTAAGGTTGGACTTTTTGTAAAAAAGAAAATATTCACTTGCAAACCTATGAATAGTGTGAGAAGACTCACATATTTAATGTGGGCATTCGGACCACAGAAGCACGACTCTTGTTAATTGTTTCAAACGAGTATTGCGTTGTCTACAAAAACAATGAACCTCATCCCAAAGGGGTAGGGGCCCCCTTCAGAATTGGTCAGTCGATCATCTGAGAGGAGGTAAATAAAGCTATAATTATAGACTGACTGATAAAGGGTGGAGCGCACACCTGGTACTTGCAGAGGTCCTATGTTTAACATAGTTATGTATCAGCGCGATTGCCAATATTGTGTATCTACATATTGGGTGAAAGTGGTAATTTAATACTCACTCCATCCCAAATAGGTGATTTATTTTCAAATTAAAATAAGAGATATTTAGTTGTAGAATTAAAAAAAATCAAAATTAAAAACCTATACAAAAAACTCTTTAAAACAAATGGTGTCAATGTTATTTTATTTTATCAAATGATCAATGAAAATGTATTAAAGAGTAGAGTTAGTTTGATCTTGTGAATAATGAACATGAACATTAGTTTGGGACCAAGAGATGGATTGTTATTTCGAAGCCTAAGGTTCTCTTTGGTCAAGGGGAAAATATTTTGCTAAAAAATTAATTTTCTAATAGAAAATACTTTCAAAGGAAAATTTTTCTCCAAAAAATCATTTTCCATTGTTACTTTTTTTGAAAATTCATATTTAAAAAGATGTTTTGAGACAATTTAAAAAAAGTTAAGAGCACGAGGGCAGGTGATGCAGTGTTGTGGGGGATAGGCTAGAGGTGTTGGCACAGAGCCACACAGTGACGGGATGGCGCGGCGTAGTGAGTGGCTGAGGAATGGTGGGGCGGGGTGGTGGTCAAGTGGTGGGGATGGGCTGAAGGGGGATGCACCGGAGACGGTGGCGCAGGGTGGCGAGGAGATGGGGGTGGCACGGTGAGTGTAAAAAAATAGTTGTGCAATGTCAAAAGAATTGTGAAACTTGGTGAGCAATTTTGAAAATTTTTACTGATACGTAATTTGGTATTTTTTTTACAATTCACAATTTAATTATTTTTTGCACTGCAAAAGTTGTATTGCAGTAATAGGATTGGTGGAAATAGACCCGTTAGTTTGATCTTGTGAATACTCCGTAGTAATTTGTCTGTAATGGTCAAGGGGAAAATTTTTCCCCAAAAAATCATTCTTCACTATATTATTTGTAAGAAAAGTACTTAAAATGGTATTTTGAGAATTGAGACAACTTGAAAATTTTTTAGTAGCATGAGAGCATGTGATGCAGAGTGGTTGGGGATGGAGCTAGTGGGGTGGGGGGTGTCGAGTGGCCGGGGGATGGGTGGGGCGTAGGGTCAAATGGCGGGGAGGCGACGGGGGTGGGTGGAAGGGGGAGTCTCCTTAGGCGGGGGCGATTGGCGCAGGGTGGTGCAGGGGTGGGCACGTGGAGGTTGCATCGAGAGTGCAAAAAAATGTTGTAAATTGTCAAAAGTGTGGCTAAAAACCCACCATTGACACAAGTTTGAGAGCAAGTGTTTTAGAAATATATATACAGACAGTTATTATTTGTGACAAACAAATACATAGAGTGATTGTCAGTATCTGTGGATGTGGGTGAAACATTTGATATCAAACTCTTGGCGTTAACTTGGTCAGCGTTTTTGAAAAATTGTATTTATACGTAAATTTGGTAGTTTTTTTAATAATTCCCAATTATTATTTTTTGTACTACAAAATTTGTTTTGCAGAAATAGGATTGGTGGAAATAGACCAAATAGTTGGCTCGTGTTCTATTTAGTGGGTACCAAAAGCAATGGCGTGTTTGTTTCCTCCGAGATTTTCTGTCCGGATGTCCAAGCCGGAACTGGTGACACCCAAAACGGAGACCCCACGGGAGAAGAAGCCACTCTCGGACATCGACGACCAGGCCAGCCTCCGGTACCAATTGCCGGTGCTCTGGTTTTACGAGGCCAAGCCGTCCATGCGGGGCATGGACCCAGCCACCCTCGTGAAGGATGGCCTGTCCAAGGCGCTAGTGTTCTACTACCCCTTGGCCGGCCGCCTCTACGAGGGGCCCAACAAGAAGTTGATTGTAGATTGCAATGGGGAAGGCGTGCTTTTCGTGCGAGCAGAGGCTGACGTCGCCCTGGTTAAGCTCGGCCGATTCGTCCAGGCGCCGTGCCCGTATCTTAAGAAGCTTCTGTATCATGTGCTGGGCTCTGGCGGAATCACCGGGACCCCTCTTCTGCTCATTCAGGTATATATCTTTTACTCTATCCCAATCTTTCTACACATTTCAGGCCGGGAGTAAAAGAATGTGGCTAAGGTTCGTAATTGTAGGTTTTGGTAATGTTTTAATTCTCAGGTGACTCGGTTCACTTGCGGTGGCTTTGCACTCGGTGTCCGGTTGAACCACACCATGGTCGACGCCTACGGGATCCTCCTCTTCTTGAAGGCGGTCAGCGAATTGGCAAGAGGTAGCACGTCGGCCCCCTCGGTTGCCCCAGTTTGGGATAGAGAACTCCTGACTGCCCACGGCTCACATGAGACGTCGTCTGTGAGGAGTAACAGCAACACAGAGCGTGAGCTCCAAGGCCTGTACGGTCGGCCCACACATCGCAAACACATTTTCAAGCCACTCGACATCGAGCGGTTGGGGGCCTTGATTTATGACTTGGAAACACATGCTGCCATGCCACGTTTCTTCTTCTTCCCAACAGGAATACCCATCTTACTCCAACGCTCTTTCGTCTTTGGCCCAAGGGAAATCCAGGCTCTCAAAGTTCAGGCCGTGGCGCAAGGCTACGGCCAGTGCACCACATTTGAGGTTGTCGTCGCGTGTTTGTGGAAATGTCGTACCATCGCGCTGCAGCTCGAACCTTCTTTGACAGTTCGGGTCACGTTCCCAACGGACATTCGTGGAATGTCCTCCGTGACTGGACTGTCGTTCCCCCGAGGGTACTATGGGAATGCCATCGTGATGCTCTCTGCCTCTACCACCGCGAAGCTATTGTGTGAGGGCCCCATTAGTTACGCCATTAAGCTGATCAGAGAGGCGAAGGGAAAACCTGACTTTGATTACGTGGGTTCGGTGTTAGATTTTATGGTGTGTAATGGGCGACCACGAATGATTGTGAGGGGGAACCTAATGATTTCGGACACAACGAGAATAGGTTTTGAAAAGCTCGACTTTGGATGGGGGGATGCAATATATACCGGCACCTCCACCGCAGTCTACGGTGCCACGTTCTTACAAAATCCTAAGAGCGTGGCTGCCGGCTGCTGCGGTGCAGAGAGGAGCATTTTGGTGCCCCTTGCTTTGCCTCACATTTCTATGCTCATCTTCAAACGTGAGCTGAAGAAGATGACTACGAGAGCTTTTTCTAAAATTTGAGTTTCTGTTTATGGTTTCTTTAAGCATTTTTTGTGCGTGTTTGGTGAAGTGCATAAAGGCACAAACTACAAAACCGATTGATCAATGCTTAAATGTGTGTGTGCCTTTTACTTGTTCTAAACAAGTTTATAAATTTTGCCGGCTAATATTATTCTCATCTACTATTTAATGCCAACTAGTATCACACCCGCGCGTTGCACGGGTCATATTTACGTTACAAAATTAAAATTATTTTTCAACAACACGGATTTAAAAGTGCACTTGAAAGAAACTAATTACGAAAATCCTTGCAAGTGATCGTATTTATACTATGAAAATTTTTGGCTTATTCTATTTTCCTTTTTCAGAATCTTTTTAAAAGTTACGATGTAATATTTTTGGCCAAATTACACGGTTGGTGTTACTTACCATTTCAACATTCCTTTGTTAACTTAAATTTTTAATTATCAACGTGTATTTATGATTCTTTCTTAACAAACCGTATATAAGAAAAACACTTTATTTAAAATATCTATAAAGTATAAATGGAAATACAACTGTAATTTTAATTTGGATATTTTAAGGTAGGAGAATATATTTTTTGTTCAAGGCAACATTTTCAATTTTTTTTAAAGACAGTAATTTTTTATACACGGTAACCGCAAAAAAAGAACATACCTTTTTTAATAATATTATTATTACATTGCTTATAATGAAGTTACCTTATTTAAAATACGTATAAAGTAAAAAAAAGAAACATAATTATTTTTTGATCGGTTTTTGGTGTCTTTCTTACAACTTCAACATTATATTTTTAACTTAAATTTTTAATTATCAACGTGTATTTATGATTCTTTCTTACCAAAATCGTGCATAAAGAAATCATTTTATTTAAAATAACTAAAAGTATAAATGCAAACACAACTGTGGTTTTAATTTCGATAATTTAAGGTATGAGAATAATTTTTTTCAATGCAACGCTTTCATGTTTTTTCAAAGACGGTAATTTTTTATACACGGTAATCACGTAAAAGGAACCTACCTTTATTATTATTATTACGTTGCTTATAATGAAATTGCCTTATTTAAAATACGTACAAATTAAAAACAAAAACACAAAATATATAATGTTGGACCAAAAAATATTTGGTATGAGAATACTATTCACACGGTATCATAAAAAGTAATATTTATACTTTTCGTAAAAGGGCATTTAATAGTTATACTTTTTATTCTCCGTGTTAATTATACTTTTTATAACACAGTACCATAATTAGTATACTTTTTATAACACGGTATTAAAAATTTTAAGGTATGGAATTACCATATTAATAAATAATATATTACATGGGTAATTTAATTACCATAGTTATCTTTTACTCAGCATTTTAATTTATTACACATTAAATTCCCTTTTACAAAAAGTATAAATATTACTTTTTATGATACCGTGTGAATAAAATTATTCTCATACCAAATAGTTATACTTTTTATCCTCCGTGTTAATTATACTTTTTATAACATGGTACCATAATTAATATACTTTTTATAACACGGTATTAAAAATTTTAAGGTATGGAATTACCATATTAATAAATAATATATTACATGGGTAATTTAATTACTATAATTACCTTTTACTCGGCATTTTAATTTATTACACACGGTACATTATAATTCATAAATATTTATTACCTTATATACGACACTATTTGATTTAACACTTACCTATTTATGTTGAGCGCTTACCTTTTGTGATTGAAGACCATTTAGGCGGGAAACTACAAAGGAGAAATCCCCTCTTTTTAAATATAGTATAGGTTTGCCATTCTAAAACTATTTTTCTAGTACTATTTGTACAGTCAAACTTTATTTATTTTTTTATTATTTTAATTAGTTATTTGATAAAAAATATAATTCAATTACCTATAATGTTGTAGCATCATATTTTTTTAGTTTTACACTTATAATCAAATAAGTTTATTTTAAAATAAAATCGACCAAATAAGTTTAATTAAAAATATAATTCTATTACCTATGATTTTGTAGCATCAATTTTGTCGAACGTCGACGACACACCCATGATTATTTACTAATGTTTGTATTAAAGATCATAAATAATACTATATAATATAATGTCGATAAGGGGATATGTTTTTCTCAACACGACATTTGTCACTATTTATACAAAAAACTGAAAAGAAAACAATTGTTTTTTAAATAAATATCATCGCAATTTATATAAATTAGAGGACATATTACTTTGTATGTATAACTAATTCATTTATTTTATATTTAAATCATAATTTAAATTTAAATTATTGGAACGTGTGTCTACGCAATTGACCCAAATAAAGAAACTAACCATTTTTATTCATACACATTAAACACTAAAAGCCATAATTCCTTTTTTTATTAATGTAAGTTTTTAAAATTGTACTATGTAGGTATAATAAATAAATTTTTCTTTATATTTAATTCGTAATTTAAACAATTATCACGTTGGTCTACGCAATTGACGTTCTATAAAAGAAAACTAACCTTTTTTATTCCTACGCATTAAACACACGATTTTATTTAATTCCTAATTTAAATTAGTATACCCTAAAAGTCTTACTGTGTTACCTTTTTTAATTAAATACCATAAAAGTCTTACCTTTTTAACTGTGTGCATTTGGGCGGGAATTCCATGGAGCCATTTTCCCTTGCTTTTAAGAATAGAATGATTATGTCTTTTATTTACTCCTGTTTAGAAGTGGCAAATCGGTCGTCAGGTCAAATTCGAGTTCGGTTCAAGTTGAAAACTACATGTTCATGACCCAGCATTATCGGGTTCAAGTTGACCTAATGGATTATGACCTTTATTTATATTTTAAATTTTTAAGTAATTTTTAAGACCGAATGCATTATGACCTTTATTTTTTCAAGCAAAAAGAACAGAGGCTTCCTTGTATTCTATATCTAGAAGTATACAATTAATATTTTACCAAATATTTTCCAAATTATAGGTGACGATTGTGCTTTCTCTCTCTAGCTATGCCGCGGAGAAGAGGAAGGCCTAAGAAAGCTACGAATCAAGGACATGGAGCAAATACCCCAGGCGATATCAACGCGAGTTCTTCTAAAGGATCCCCGGAGAAGAAGACACCAAGCACGGAGGAACAACAGCGCAGTATAAACCACAATGAGATTGACGATCTATCAAATCTGGATCTGAAGAATGATAAGGAGCCGCCAAAAACCTATGCGAGTGTAGTAGGACACCAGGATCAGGATGAGGAATTTAATCTGAAGTTCATTCCAGCTACGGAGATTAATGGTAACCTCGTGGCAAAACTTACGCAAGAGGATGTCATTGAATCTGGTACCTACTGGGATGCTACACTGGTATGCTGTATTTTGGGTGCTAACCCTCCCTTGGAGGTGGTTAAGGGTTTTATTAATAGAATTTGGAAAGCGTATGATATAGAAGAGATATCTCTATTGAGAGAAGGTCAATTTATTATCATGTTTAAGAAACCTGAAGATAGAGATACTGTCCTCAAGAGGAAGTATTACTACTTTGACAATAAGCAAGTTATGGTACAGAAATGGTATCCTGGAGCTAGAGTAAATGTGGAAAATCTTGATGATATTCCAATATGGATCCAACTCCCGGAACTGGATATGAAATTTTGGAGCCTGACTGGTTTGAGTAAACTGGGAAGCCTGGTGGGAAAACCAGTAAAGAGAGATAGAGCAACAACAAAGAAGACCAAGTATTCATATGCAAGAATACAAGTGGAAGTCAAAGTGCAGCAAGATTTCCCCACAGAGATCAAGTTCTTAGATGATGAGGATATAGTGATTACTCAGCAAGTCATATATGAGTGGTGCCCTTGCCTTTGCTCCCACTGCAAAAAACTTGGACATTTGCAAGAGAACTGCAAGAGAAAGGATGGTAAAGTCAATGCTAGAAGGAAACTGATATGGAAGGAAAAAAGACCTGAAGGTGCTAAGGAGGAAGAACAATGTGTTGATGAGGGGAATAATGGAAAAAAGGAAGAGGTACCAGGCATCCCCATGGAAAAGGATAATGATGAAGGATTTATTGAAGTCTCTGGGAAGAAAGCAGCTAAAAGAAGGACCAGCCTAACCATAGAAGAGGACCCTTTGGTAGCTCTTATGAAGGTAATGGAGTCAGCCCAGTTTAGTGGGCACTACCCCTTTCTATCATGATAGCTTGCTGGAATGTTAGGGGGCTTAATAGTCTCCTAAAGCAAAATGAAGTACATACAATTGTGAATAAATATGGTATTGGGTGGCTGGGAATGCTAGAAACAAAAATTAAGGATAATAACTTTACTAGTATTGAGAATAAAATGTTCAATGGTTGGGGTTCTTTCATAAATAATGATGCTCATCCTTTGGGTAGGATTTGGGTTGTTTGGAATAAGAGTAAGTTTGATGTGAAGATAATTGATTGGAATGATCAGCTGATACATTGCAAGGGAAGAAGTATAGGGGATGACAAAGGTTTTCACATAACCTTTGTGTATGGACATAACAATGCCCAAGATAGGAAAAATCTCTAGGATAAACTGGAGAGAATTAGCCATAATATCCAAGAAGGGTGGCTAATAATGGGTGATTTTAATGATGTACTACTACCCAAGGACAGAATAGGAGGGAATCAAGTTACAGAAGAGGAGATTAAAGACTTTAAGGAATGTATGTTCAGATGTGAGATGGAAGAATTGCCAAGTGTTGGTAGCTACTACACTTGGAGTAACAAGCAAGATGCTGGGTGTAAAATCTACTCTAAATTGGATAGAGCCTTATCCAATATGGAGTGGATGGTGAAGTTTGGGTCCAAAGTCCAAATCATTGAAGAAGGAATCTCAGATCACTGCCTTCTTCTGATCAGAACAGGGGAACAAGAGAGGAGGAATGTGGCCTTCAAATATTGTGACATGTGGGAATTGGATCCTGAGTTTAACAACATACTCAGGAAGACATGGGGGAAAGAGATGGAGGGTAGATATATGTATCAACTGACACAGAAACTGAAAGAACTTAAGAACCCTCTTAAACTACTTAACAAAAGTAAGTTCCAACATATTCATCAGCAGTGTGAGTGGTTGAGAGAAGAATTGTATGATATCCAGAGCAAGCTGAAAACTGATACTAGTAATCAGGGCTTGATTACTAAGGAGAGGGAATGCTTGAGAGACCTGATCATCAAAATGAAGGCAGCTCAAAGTATGAAGTATCAACAGACTAAACAGCAGTGGATTATTGATGGGGATCATAGTTCTAAACTTTTTTATGCCTGGACCAAGAAAAGAGCACTACAAAATCAAATCACAGTAATCTGGGATTTGAAAGGAGCACAGGTGGAGGGCAAGGAGAAAGTAGCTGAGGTTTTGGTGGATTACTTCAAAAATCTTTTTGGGACTTGCACTTGGTCTGATCCGGTTCAGAAGGAGATAGTCACAACAGGTCCTTGCCTAGATACTAATCTCCAGTTATCTCTACTAGAACAAGTCACCAATGAGCAGATTAAGGATGCAGTATTTTCTATTCCTAGTATCAAGAGTCCCGGACCAGATGGTTTCAATAGTGGTTTCTTCAAAAGGAACTGGAGCACTGTGAGAGATTTGGTTATTAAGGGTGAGAATGAATTCTTTCAAAGTGGGAAATTCCCTAAACACCTGAATGCAACTAATGTGGTGTTGATTCCAAAAACTGAATCCCCAAAAAACCCGTCTGAGTTTAGACCAATTGCCTGCTGTAATGTGATTTATAAGGTAATATCCAAGATCTTATGCTCCAAATTGAAGAAGGTATTACCTAGTATTATCAACCTTAATCAAGGTGCGTTTGTTGAAGGTAGAGAGTTGGTCCATAATATTCTGTTATGCCACGAGTTAGCAAGGGGATATGGAAGGAAAGGAGCCTCCCCTAGATGTCTAATGAAACTGGATCTCAGGAAGGCATATGACTCCATCAGCTGGAGAGCTATAAAAAAAATAATGGAGTACATGAAGTTTCCTAAAAAATTTATTGAATGGATATACTTCTGTATTTCCAATACTTCCTATTCTATTATGCTAAATGGGGAAAATGTTGGCTATTTCAATGGGGGTAAGGGGATTAGACAAGGTGACCCACTGTCTCCCCTATTATTCACTGTAGTGATGGAATATTTAACAAGAGCTTTGATATATTATGCTGACAGGAGCAAATTTAAATACCACCCAAGATGTAGGAATCTGAGATTAATAAACTTGGCTTTTGCTGATGATTTGATAGTAGCTTGTAAAGCTGATAAGGATTCAATCAAAGTAATCCTGGAGTGTCTTCAACATTTTAAGGCTGTAACTGGATTTGAGGTTAACNTGCATGGGCAACAAAGAATCTTTCCTATGCAGGTAGATGTAAGCTGATCAACAATGTTCTGTTCGGGGTGATCTCCTTCTGGTGTAGACTTTTCATAATCCCTAATAGTGTGATGCAGAAGATACAAGCCATCTGCAGGAACTTCCTTTGGGGGGCTAAAGCACATTACTCTAAAACGCCTCTTGTCAATTGGGAGGATGTTTGCAAGCCTAAACAGGCAGGTGGTCTGGGGTTCAAAAATCTAAGTTACTGGAATATGGCTTGCATCCAAAGGTTGATTTGGGACATTGCAAGCAAAAAGGACATCCTTTGGGTTAAGTGGATTCATAATAAGTATCTAAAAAGGGACAACATATGGAACATCTCTGTCAAATCAGATTTTTGCTACTATTTGAAAAAAATTCTGCATAACAGGAAGGAATTTGAGGGCATGGACATTAAAGGTAAATATGAAGTGCAGAAAGGCTATGAGTGGCTGTTGGGCGACCATGAAAATGTACAATGGACCTCGATTGTTTGGAATAAGCTCACTATTCCTAAACATCAATTCCTACAATGGCTGGGTTGGAAAGACAGGATACTCACTAAAACCAGGTTGGCCAGATACATGAACATTACTACTGATTGTGTTCTATGTTCTGATCATGTAGAGGATAGGGTGCACTTATTCTACAAATGCCAGTACGGTAGAGAATTGCATAGTGAAGTTAGAAGGTGGCTTCAAATTAGCTGGTCTGCCAGCAATGATATGGAGCTACAGAAGGCTATTCAATGCATCAGTGGAAGGAAAAACAGACAATTGGCCATTGCAGGATTTGCTGGAGTCTGTTATGCTGTTTGGAGGGCAAGGAACTGGAAGGTTATGAAACAAGAGGAGGTGACAGTATCTGATTCATACCATTGGCTCAAGAGCCTAATGAAGATATATACTAATCATAAGCTAAAAGTAGTACATCTCATTTAGTTTCTCATTTAGTTGTCTGTTGTTATTCCATACTTGAGTGGACTGGCATGTAATTTGGAACTGGTTGTGGTGTTTAATAGTATGAGCTTTGTTCAAAAAAAAATATTTTCCAAATTCTAACATATGAAAATTATTATATTGCTTAAGAATCCTTAAATAACACCAAACATTGTGGATAGTCTTATACTCTTTGACATAAGACCACTAACCTAATTATAAAATTAATAAAAATCATTCAAAGAAGTACATACATAACTAATTATTACATACAAATGAGTGACTCTAAATTACTTCTTTTATGCAAAGATATAAATCTAAATCCAAAAAAAACAAGTGTTTTTTACCCCCATATGTATATATGATACACAGATTGAAATGTATGAATAATTCTAAAAACATTATTCATTAATTGTCTAGTTCAATTTGTTGCCAAATCTTAAATTAGGCATTGTATGATTCAAAACATAAATTAAAAAAATATTAAAATTTCAATGATTCTTCTCCAATGCATTATTTCAAAAAATAAATATATAAACAATATTAGCATTCTTATGATTCTGATTGGAAATTTATAAATACATTTCGCAAATTCTTATTCAATTTTTCTTCCATTATGTTTGAATGAGAAATCATTCAAGCCTGTAAAAGTATTCTTTTTTTGAATAATTTTATTTAAAAAGTTTATATTTTTTTAAAAATAATCTAGACACCTCTTATTTTATAGAATATTAATTTAAAGATTAAAATATACCTAGCTTTTTTTATTTTACTTTTTATATTTAAATAAATAAAAATTAAAAACATAATTTAGAGTATATATTTTTTAAGGATGGAAATCTTCTTTATTTCATTGAAAGTTATATTATAAATTAAAAAGTATTTGAATAAAAACGAAAATCTCTATCCCATAATTAAATTTATTTAATGATGTTTGAAATTCTAAATAATGTTAGTTTAAACATAGTATGTTGTGGTGGCATATTTTATATTAATTAATTACATTATTTAATTTAATTAAGTATCATATCCTAATAGATAATTAGAAGTAATAATTTTTTATATTTAAATAATTAAGCATCTTAAACCTATAAACTATAAATTTTATAGTAATTAACTAAAATCATAAATTAAAATCATTGATTACTAAATTATGTATAGTACTTTTTTTCTACTTGAACACTATTATAACCCAATCATCTCATATTTTTAAAAGATGTTTAATGTAATTCCTAAACTATATTGTTTGTTTGTTTTTTATTTTATATCAATATTGAAATAAATAAATTCAAAACTTACTTCCTTTTAACTTATCATAAGCAAATACTTATATGTAATTTATTTAGAGGTGAAGAGAGTAGTGTATTAGGCTATTAGCTAATCGATTTTTTTTATAAATGAAGAATTAAAAAATACTGAAATATGAAAAAATATTATTATAAAAATGAATATCACTATTTTATAATAAAATATATTCAAATATTTCAAACCAAAATATATTTATTCCATATGGAGTATTTTATATGTCTTAAATTAGGTGACATATTAGGTGTAAAAAGTCACATAAGTAATGCACATGTTAATTTTTTAAAGATAAAACATTCATTGTTTTATAGAAAAGACTAATAGAATAATTTTATTCTTAATAATTTAATATAACGAATATATTAAACTTTTTTTTATTTTTGATGAAAAGTAAAAGTTTAATCCCATTCAAGTATTATTGAATGCTGTCTAGCTCGTAAATCAATGCCACATAATATGCCCCATATTATACCACACGTATATCCCGTTATGTTAAATGTCAAGCTCTTATGTATTCGAGTCTCAAATTTATATACAAAGGATAACTAACGAAAAAAGTTATGGAAAATGATTAAAATTTGACAGTGTGAATAATAATTAGATTTGGCAAGAAATGACCCGACTTGTTTTTAACCTGAAACCTGATCCGAAAAGACAGTAGTTTGTACAAAGGTTTTGTTGACCGAACTTGAAATGACCCGCTAAAAATGCGTCAAAGCCAACCAAACCCGAACCCGACCTGACCGACCTGCAAATGTTAGAGTTTTTCAAAATCATATACTTTACTATGAAATATATATAATGTTATAAAAATAAGGTTCTAATTATATTTTTTCTTGCTACTCGTTTTTAGAGTATAAATTTATATTTTTGGACAAAATTTTAATGATATTGCATAATTATCTTACTTTTTTCCAAAAGTGATACATTTTTTTAATTCTTTATATTGACTTATATACTTAGAATTTACTTCAGACTTTAAAATACAATATTATAATAGATTTAATAGTTATTTATGATATTTTAAGTTTATTTAATGTGAAATGTATGTGTTAGTATGAATTTAAAAACATTAAAAACCAAAGTCATACCCCGTTGGGTTGACCTGAACCCGATGACACTAGGTCATGAACATATAGTTCTCAACCAGAATTGACTCGAACTTGAAGTAACTTGAACCCAAAGTGACCGAATCCGATGTAACAGATCAATTTACTTGCTCTAATAATACCTGGGAAGAAAGTTTTTGAACGAAGGGAGTATTATTTTTAATTATAACAAAAAGGCTTTAGCATCGCTTATTAAGAAATAAACAATGCCAAAGAGATTTTTTTATTTAAATATAAGGGCTTTAGCATTGATTATTCAGAAATAACCGATGCCAAAAGTATGAAATTTGTTTAATTTGGATCGAAAAGTTGAGGTCTTAAATTTGTTTAATTTGGCTCAAAAAATTCAATCTGGATAATACATTGAGACGGGAGTAGTATAATTTTATACTAGTATCAAGTCTATCATCCCCAATCCCCATGTGTTTAATGAGTAGCATACATTGATAATCAGAGTAGCATAATCAAGAGTGTTTAAACTCACTCGAGGAACCACAAGTTACTGGATGGATGTATGAGAGTTTTTAATAGAATATAGGAACACAATTGGGGAATCTAACACTTTGGGTGATTAGAAGACTAATTGCATTATGAGGCTAAGAACTTATAGCACACATAAACGCAATTCCTTTTTTTGTGGTCTTAATAATGCATCACATTACAAGTTTAATACACTAAAACCCAAATTTGGAGTCTCATGCCATAACACCAATTGCATTGGACCTTCTATTTTCTTTATAAAGTAAATGAACATGTTCATAAAGCAACCAACATGCCGAAAGGTATCATATACTGTATTTGAAAGATGCCTACAACCCGCTCATAGGCTCGCCGTCGGGAGTTTGGGCTTGAGATTGATCTACAGACTCATCCGAGGCGAAAGGTGGTAATGGGAGATCCGGAAATGGGAAACCGGGGATTCCAAATCCAGATCCCGGGAAAGAGAAACCGGGGATGTTTGGGATTTCAGAGCCAGGTTCTTGTGGAGCATTAGGAACGTTCGGAATTCCAAATCCCGGAATGTTTGGGATATTAGGAAAAGGAAGCCCTGGAATATTTGGAATCCCGGGGCTTGACCCTCCTGGAATTTCGGGAGCATCTGGAGTTCCGGGAAAGGGAATGCCAGGTATATCTGGAGTTCCAGGAAATGGAATGCCAGGTGTTCCTGGAAAGGGAATGCCAGGTATATCTGGAGTTTCTGAGCCCGACCCCGGAGATGGAAAGCCCGGAATACCGGGCCAATCAAGTAACTTTGCACCATTTTCACTAGCTCCATTTTGTTGGGAGAGTTTCCTTGAATATTGAAGGACACGAGCATCGCTATAGGTCACTAAGAACATGGCCAGTATGAAACGCACCAAAGAGAGCTCCTTGGATGAATATTGATGCATCATTTTTGTTGATTTTGTGGTCAAAAATGTAAAGCATCCACTAAGTTAAACTTTGAAGAAAGTGAAGTGTATTTAATAGTAAGTTTACTAACATCATTTGCTTATATAGCCCTAAACAATTTGGAGCAGAAAAAAATTTATATTTAATGTATCTACCCAACTGTAACTTTTTCTAAATTAAGAAGATTACAAGAATTTTTGGTGATTTTGACCAAGGGAAACGTTACATAAATATGCATTAAATTCGTTTTTAGTGATCAAGTCTGCGTTGTTATGTCATGCACCCGTGTCAAGAAATCATTTTCTTTTTCATACTCCTTTTTTTTTTCTTTGAGTAGTTTTCATACTCTTTATTCCTTTTAAAAATTAAGTTCCTCATTTTTGACCATTTCATGTTCTCCAAAAATAACCAATAAAACATTTCAATTTTAAGTATTGTCAGTGTCACTAAAGAACTCGTTTCTGTCACGAAAATTATTGTTAAAAATTTGAACCATGCTACACTTACATCAAAAATTGTACCCCGCGGTTATACACAAACATTTTGATGGTTTACACCGACACAAGTGTTGGTGCGTTGACAAAAATTTACACGGATACAAAGTGTTGATGCATTAATAAAAAATAGTTTTACACTAACACAAAATGTTGTTGCAAACCTGTAGAAAAACTTGGGGTACAAATAGCTTTATTTTGTCATAGATATTTATCGTAGCGGCGTAGCCTCATAGGTGTGAGTAGCCTAAGCCCTAAATTAAAGTCTTCACATTTTATCACGGATTTTTTCGTGTCAAAAACCATGACTTCAATCGTGTTTGGAATCCCATTTAGGTGTGAGCAAACAAATATCAATTTTGATATTTTCAGATATCGGAATTCTTTTTGGGTGTTTGGTGAAACCAAAAAAGATATCGAATTCGATATCTCCACTCTCCAGGTATCATAACTCTTTCAAATGGAGGGTTTCGATCATAGTTTTGAAAACCGGACCGGACCGGCCAGTTCAGACCGAGAATCGGTGAACCGTGCATCAAACCGGTCCGGCCTGGGCAATCAGACTGGCTTCAGCAAACCAAAGAAAACCAGCCAGCAGGAACCGTTTTTTTTTTTTTTTTTTTGTGAACAACTGGTTTTTGTTTTTATTTTTTTGTGAACTTTTTTAAAAAGCACATGCCCAAGATTTGAACCCAAGTCCTCATGATAGAAAAGACCATGCTTCAAACCATCTCTGCCAAAATACTTGGTGCAAACTATTTGCTATTTGTCTTTTAATATTCT